GCCTCCCAAAGTGCTGGGATTACAGGCTTGAGCCACCGCGCCCAGCCTAATTTTTGTATTTTTAGTAGACACGGGGTTTTACCATGTTGGCCAGGCTGGTCTCGAACTCCTGACCCCAAGTGATCCACCTGCCTTGGCCTCCCAAAGCACTGAGATTATAGGCTGAGCCACCGTACCTGGCGTCCTTTTTGTTTATTCAGTGAACATTTACTGAGCAGCTGCTCTGTGCCCAGCACTCTACAGAGTGCTGGGGACACTTTGGTGATCCAGACACTTTCAGGTCTCTTGCTGTCATGTGGTTTGTTTTCCTGTTGGGGGTAGAGGAATGCCCAGGAAGTAAGTGGACTCAGCAGTTAATTACAAAATGTGTTAGGTGCTATGAAGGTGACAAACGGCAGAAATGGGGAGAATATTGAGGTATGAACAGGGGGGCGGTGGGGGTAAGATAGGTAGTCAGGGGAGGCCTCTGAGGAGAACCCTTCCTCAGGAGAAAGGACCAGCCTTTGTGGAGAACAGAGGAGGAATAACATCACAGAGGCTGCAGAGGGGCAAACTCGAGCACGTGGGCCATGCCAAGGAGTCTGGAATGTTCAGCAGGCACAGCATACAATCAGCTTACGTTTGAAGCAGATGAATCCAGCAGCTCTGTGTGGAGAATGGAATGGAGGGAGCTGTTTCATTCCTCTGCAAAATGGGGTGAGGGTCCAAGGAGTCCTCGTAGGTCCATTGTTGAATACAGTGGCTGGCACATGGCAGAGCTCCAGCGTGGCCAGGCGGGGTCCGCGGTGGGGCAGCCTGGAAGGAGCAACAGAGAGCTTACCTTGGCCAGTTAGGCGAGGCACAAGTGTGCAGACCGGCTTGAAGTCAGAGATGGTCCTGGGTGGGTCAGGGCAGTGACACTGGCTGGGGGCATTGGCTGTACTCCCTCCCACCTGTCCCCACTGCACATTCAGCCTTCCTTCCTTCCTTTCAGCTGTGATCCGAGGTGTCACCACCAAAGAGTTGTATCCAGAGTTTGGGCTGGACATGAATGACTGAGCAGGCTCATCGCCCCTTGTCCACAGTCCCCAGGGACAGAAGGGTGTGGACATGATAAACACCGAGAGCCCAACCAGCACACCTACAGAGTTTCCAGCGAGAAAATGCCAGAAGCGCTTTTCTAGAGAGCCCAAGCTGAATCAGGAGGAGCCTAGAGAAGAGGCGGGCAGGGAGGAAGGGGCGTTCCCAGCTCCAAGGTTCCTGAAATGTCGCAGTGATACTTATATAGGGGTACATGTACTTTATTTGTCAATAAACGTATCTGTACACTGATTCCCTCTTCTCCAATAGCCCCCAATAGTACCTAAGATAAAGAAAGCGTGCCTTGGATTAGAACAGGCCTACATGAACCAGGCATTTTGCTAAGTGCTTTATATCCATTGTCTCTGATGCTTAAAATCATCCTGTGAGAAATTAGCGTAATTATCCCTATCTTACAGATGAAGACGCTGAGGCTCAGAGAGGAGACAAAGTGACTTGCCCAAGGTCACACAGCTAGTAAGGGGCAGAACAGGGATTTGAGCTCAGGTCAGACCCAAGCTTGTGCTTTGCAATACTGCCTTTCTTGGCTGGGAAGAAGCAGGCAAGAGTTTAGAGTGGGCCAGGTGTGGTGGCTCATGCCTGTAATCCCAGCACTTTGGGAGGCTAAGGCAGGAGTTCGCTTGAGGCCAGGAGTTCAAGACCAGCCTAGGCAACGAAGAGAGACCACCCCCCCGCTTTCTTTTTTCTTTTCTTTTCTTTTTTTTTTTTCCCTAGATGGAGTCTCGCTCTGTCGCCCAGGCTGGAGTGCACTGGCACAGTCTCGGCTCACTGCAACCTCTGCCTCCCGGGTTCAAGCAATTCTCCTGCCTCAGCCTCCTGAGTAGCTGGGACTACAGGAGCGTGCCACCACGCCCATCTTGGCCATGATGGTCTCAATCTCTTGACCTTGTGATCCACCTGTCCCAGTCTCCCAAAGTGCTGGGATTACAGGCGTGAGCAACTGCCCCCAGCCGAGAGACCCCCTTTTTGTTTAAAAATTATGTTCTGTGTTCCCAGAGGTAAATTTTTTTTTTCTTGTTAAAAATAAATTTTGCCGGGCCAGGCGTGGTGACTCACACTTGTAATCCCAGCACTTTGGGAGGCTGAGGAGGGCAGATCACCTGAAGTCGGGAGTTCAAGACCAGCCTGACCAAAATGGAGAAACCCCTCTCTACTAAAAATACAAAAAAATTAGCCAGGCATGGTGGCGCATGCCTGTAATCCAGCTACTTGGAAGGCTGAGGCAGGAGAATCACTTGAACCCGGGAGGCGGAGGTTGCGGTGAGCCAAGATTGCGCCATTGCACTCCAGCCTGGGCAACTAGAGCAAAACTCGGTCTCAAAAAAATAAATAAAAAATAAATTTTGCTGGGCGTGGTGGCTCATGCCTGTAATACCAGCACTATGGGAGGCCGAGGTGGGTGGATCTCCTGAGGTCAGTAGTTTGAGACCAGCCTGTCCAACATGGCAAAACCCTGTCAGTACTAAAAATACAAAAAAAACATGTCCCGAGATTGCGCCACAGGACTCCAGCCTGGGCAATAAGAGTGAAACTCCATCTCAAAAAAATAAAAAAGTAGGCCGGGTGCAGTGGCTCATGCCTGTAATCCCAGCACTTTGGGAGGCCAAGGAGGTCAGAGACGAGGTCAAGAGATTGAGACCATTCTGGCCAACATTATGAAACTCCATCTCTACAAAAAATTCAAAATTTAGCTGTGCGTGGTGGCACGCACCTGTAGTCCCAGCTACTCTGGAGGCTGAGGCAGGAGAAACACTTGAACCCAGGAGGCAGAGGTTACAGTGAGCTGAGATCACACCATTGCACTCCAGCCTGTTGGACAGAGCAAGACTCCATCTCAAAAATAAATAAATAAATAAATAATGTAAATACATTTTATACCAGACTACAGGCTCATACTTGTAGTCCTATTACTTTGGGCAGCTGAGGCAGGCAGCTCACTTGAGGTCAAGAGTTTGAGACTAGCCTGGCCAACTTGGTGAAACTTGGTTTCTAAAAACCAGCCATACAAGTAAGACCTCGATTTGAGTCTCAGCTCTGCCCACTTACAAGCTGTGTGACTACAGGCAACTGACGTGGTCCCAATAAACTGGAGATAATAGTAGCACTGTATTCACCAGGGTAATTAGCATTAACCAACTCAGCAAACCACCACAAAACCTGTGTGGCTGAACACAATAAAGGTATGTTTGTCTCAGTTTAATGAGGGTCTGGTAGCCCTCCTCTATTTTGAGCTATACCATCAGAACATGTGGCCACCAGAATGACCACAGCAGGGGAAGAGAGAGATGAAGACACACCAACTCCAAACCAACTCCCCCTTATTTGGGAGACATAACTTCTACTCACAGCTCCTTGTCTATAACTAGTCACTTGGCCCAAACTAGCCAAGAGGGAGGCTGGGAAATAAGGGTGAGCACACAGGTATTTCATAGGGAGTCAGCCACAAAGACCCACCTCCAAAGGCGGCTTTGAGTATCTGGTGTGCAACTGCCCACAACCGGGCTCCTAGGGTTACACTAGACAGCGACCCATTACCCCCACACCCTGCCATCAAGTATCCCATGCCTGTGCTCTGGTCCTGGTTCAGACTTCAGACCCTTGTCTCCATCTATCAGCTCTTCTAGATGAAACACACAGCCAGGTGTGGTGGCCCATGCCTGTAATCCCAGCACTTTGGGAGGCCGAGGCAGGCAGATCACATGAGGCTAGGAATTCAAGATCAACCTGGCCAACATGGCAAAGCCCCATCTCTACTAAAAATCCAAAAAAAATTAGCCAGGCATGGGGGCACACGCCTGTAATCCCAGCTACTCGGGAGTCTGAGGCAGAGAATCGCTTGAACCTGGGGGGTCGAGGTTGCAGTTAGCCGAGATCACACCATTGCACTGCAGCCTGGGCAACAGAGCGAGATTCTGTCTCAAAAAGAAACACACACACAAAAAGTACAAGCCTCAGTGACAGTGGCCCCAGGCAGCAGGCATTCTCATTTCTGAGATTTCCTTGTCATTTCTTACACTTTCTGCTTTCTCCTCGTCATGTCAACAGGTTTTCACAACCACCTTTGAACTAAGTTCCATAATTGTTCCCATTTGGATGAGGAAACAGGTTCCGAGAGCGGAAACGACCTATCAAAGTCCCACAGTGAGTCACGGGCAGCTGGAACCAGCACCCAGGTCTGTCTAACCCCTTTCCACACACAAGGCCTTGCACCAGACTCTTACCAAACCAGATGCCCCTGGGAACAAGATTTTGTCAGATTCACATCAGACGACATCATTTCCACCTGCACATCTCACATGCTCAGCACTTGCCTTGATGAACGTGGCTGCTCCTGTTCCCTTAGGTCTTGGGTGAGCGCGAGTGACCTCACTGGAGATAGAACCAGGACTGTGAGGGGCTTCAGAGGCTCTCATGTATCTTAGGTCCCACCCAGCTTTTTAAAATTTTATTTATCTATTTTATTTTGAGATGGAATTTTGCTCTCGTGCCCCAGGCCGGAGTGCAGTGGTGCAATCTTGGGTCACTGCAACCTCCGCCTCCCGGGTTCAAGTGATTCTCCCACCTCAGCCTCCTGAATAGCTGGGATTACAGACACGCGCCACCACACCTGGCTGATTTTTGTATTTATAGTAGAGACTGGGTTTCACCTTGTTGGTCAGGCTGGTCTCCAACTCCTGACCTCGGGTGATCCACCTGCCTCAGCCTCCCAAAGTGCTGGGATTACAGGCGTGAGCCACTGTGCCCGGCCCAGTCGCACCCAGCTTTTGCCTTGCCTGAGACAATGAGTGCCTGAGTGCCTTACCTGCTCTCCTCCCTTAATGTTCTGGGCCACATGGGTTTGTCTTTTGTGTTTTTATTTGTTTGTTATTTTTCTTTTTTTTTTTGAGACAGAGTCTCACTCTGTCGCCCAGGCTGGAGTGCAGTGGCCGGATCTCAGCTCACTGCAAGCTCCGCCTCCTGGGTTTAGGCCATTCTCCTGCCTCAGCCTCCCCAGTAGCTGGGACTACAGGCACCTGCCACCTCGCCCGGCTAGTTTTTTGTATTTTTTAGTAGAGACGAGTTTCACCATGTTAGCCAGGATGGTCTCAATCTCCTGACCTCGTGATCCGCCCGTCTCGGCCTCCCAAAGTGCTGGGATTACAGGCTTAAGCCACCGTGCCCGGCCTATTTGTTTGTTTTTTAAAACAGGGTCTCACTCTGTCGCCACAGGCTGGAGTACAGTGGCGCAACCCTAGCTCAAGCAATTCTCCTGCCGCAGCCTCCCAAGTAGCTGGGATCACAGGTGGCCACCCCTATGCCTGGCTAATTTTTGTATTTTCAGTAGAGACAGGATTTAACTATGTTGCCAGGCTGGTCTCAAACTCCTGACCTCAAGTGATCCGTCCATCTCAGCCTCCCAGAGTGCTGGGATTATAGGAATGAGCCACCATGCCTGGCCGGCCACCTGGTTTTATGGTGGAGAAGGAGGAGGAGGAAGAGAGGGAAGCGGCCAGGTTCTGAATGGGTGGGAGCCCCATGAGAGGTGAGCCCTTCCTTGAGGTTTTCTCACCTTACACCATGTTCTCTATGTGGAGAGCTGGCTGGTCTTGCCTCTTCCTACACAAAAAATCTGTCAGGGCCAGGTTCTGGGGAGCCCCGGTATCTGGGTCCCTGCCACACAGTGCTCGCCTGCCTGTCAGCGGGAGGTCAGAGACTCAAGCAGCCATGACAATATGGATAAAATGCGGCCACAGGGCTATGGAAGCACATTGGAGCTGCATCCAACCAATATGGGACACTGGGAAACTTCCCAGGGGAAGAGACATCCATGTCTGTCCAGTAGGAGGCAGCCAGGTAAGAATGTGGGACAGGGCTGCACGCCTGTAATCCCAGCACTTTGGGAGGCTGAGGCAGGTGGATCACCTGAGGTCAGGAGTTGGAGACCAGCCTGGGCAACATGGCAAAACCCCGTCTCTACTAAAAATATAAAAATTAGCCGGGTCTGGTGGCACACATCTGTAATCCCAGCTTCTCAGGAGGCTGAGGCAAGAGAATCACTTGAACCCGGGAGGCAGAGGTTGCAGTGAGCCAAGATTGTACCACTGCACTCCAACCTAAGCAACAGAGGGAGACTCTGTCTCAAAAGAAAAAAGAATGTGGGAGAGTATTCCAGAGGCAGAAAACTTAGTTGGTCCAGGACACAAAGGGATTTGGTCTGGTTGAAAGGTGATCAGGGATGGCGATTTGCAGGC